AAACTGATTATAATTTTTACAGGTTGAGGCTGAAATTGTTTCTGCTGATTACAAGAATATCGGCAGTCCAATATCAAAATCTTTTGCAATCAGTTTCATGATAGCCGAATTCTTTGAAAACTGTTCCTATGTCAAATCATGTGATTTTGAAAACGGGCCATGTGACTGGAAGCTAAGCGACCAATCGGATTCAAGCATCAAAGAGATTGAGAGCAATTCATATCTATACAGTGAACCGCTACTAGATGCCTCTCTCTCTACCTCTAATTCATTCATTATTGGGCACACAATTATTAATGATAGCTACTGTGGATTAAGCTTCAGTTTAATGAAAAGCATTGACATTGATTTGCAGGTATTAGTCTCTGGTTTAGGAGTGGTATGGTCCAGCTACTCTTTGCATGAGTCTACAAACACTTACGTCACCTCTAATGCCACCTGGAGGGATGTGTCGGTCTTCATTGATGTTAGCAGTGTGGAGATTATGAGTGGGAGAAATGTCACTTTTGAAATGGTTCCTGCGATGACTGGCGATGATGATTTAAGTGATACATTTGTTGCAATAGATAATGTTACGTTGCATCCATGCGTTGATTGTGAGGCTCAAGGTAGTACAACAAAACTGCATAAAATAAAATAATATTATATCTTCTTCTCTCATCTCCTTTTTCTCCAGAGTGTAGTTGCATTTCTTGCATTCAACAGTGTACAGTCAGCCCTTGTCAAGATGGCAACTATTTATCACTTGAAGTCAATCAGTGTAGACCCTGTCCTCCTGGGTACTAGTAAGTTATGTCATACTTGTACAATGTTTAAACTGTCCTTTTGTTGTGTAAAGCTGTGAGAATTGGCGGTCAATGCCTAAACCATGTCCACCTGGTACATTCAGGAATATAACTGGAGGAACTGGCCCTGCTCATTGCCAGGTTAAAACTCATTGGGTTTAAATACTTAACTGCAAAGGATTTTAGGTTTGTTCCAATGGTACCTACACAATTTCATATGGTTCGGCTACTTTGTCAACCTGTCCAACTG